TAACGGATCGCTATATCTATGGGACGCAACTACGGGTGAAAGCATTGCCACTGCATCTGTCGCTGATCGCTCAGTTATAGGTCTAAACCTCTCACCTAATGGAAATCGGGTCATTTTGGTGTGTGAAAATGGATGCTTAGAGCTGTGGGAAGTAGGCACCAGCTTGAGTTGCATAGCTACTTGGAGGAGTCAAGACAATAGATTCTTCTGCCTAGCTTTCTCATTTGATGGGGCTCGAATCGCTTCTGGATCTGAAGAGGGAACGTTAGAGCTCCGGAACTCGTTCACAGGTTCGCGTATCGGGACCACCTCAAACAAACCCGCTGACGCGATTAGATGTTTAAACTTCTCCTCAGACGGAATTAGGATTGTCTCTGGCTCTGATGATCGAACAATACGACTCTGGGATGGGTTGACAGGCGCGAGTGTCGGACTACCCCTGAAAGGCCACAGCCATGCTATTACCTGTGTATCATTCTTGCCCGATAACACTCGAGTTGTCTCTGGGTCAGAAGACGGGACATTGCAAATATGGGATGTGACTGTGGGTCGAGGTGTTGAACCAATGCAGGAATGTCACAATGACCGGATTGAATGTATTGCATTCTCGCCTGATGGCACTCGGGTGCTCTCCGGTTCCGGGGACTGCACATTAAGACTCTGGGACACCAAAACAGGCACTAGTATTGGATCCGCGTGGAAGGATCACACTAGGCCGGTTGAATGTCTTGCTTTTTCGCCAGATGGTAACCTTGTCGTCTCCGGAGCATTATGGGATGGATTGCGGCTTTGGGAAGTGGAGGGCGGCATCTGTATCGGTAAAGCGACATCGCCTTCTGCAGTTAGTCAACTTGTATTCCTACCAGATGGCAGCAAGTTTATCTCTCGGGAAAGCGGCCTTTTCTCGACATCGATGCGACTATGGGACGTCACATGCAAACCCATCGGAGAACCTATCAATGATGTCTCCCTTGTTGATCCTATCACATTTTTTGAAGACGATCTATCCATTTCATCATCCTCTGGAGAAACCTTCAAAATCTCTGACGAGGGAATCATGAGGATAGAAACACTGCCCCTAACAGGACGGCGTGTCAAACAACAAGATCCCGAAGCAATGTACAAAGATGGGTATCTCATCATGAGAGATGTACCACGCTGTACTTTCATGCTTCCAGCAGGGTGGGTGGTGACTAAATGGGCAGCTCATCGATCCAAACTTGCACTTGGCTTCTATTCGGGCCGAGTCATGATTGTGGATTTTTCCAAATTCTTGCAATGAGCATTTGCATTGCTCGGAAGACTCATGTGCTTGGATAACTATACCTCGAAGCCATGAACTCAATTTGTGTAATCTGTTAGTGACGTAGATGTTCTGTATTCGTCTCGAGATATCG